GCTAGCTCTTCACCATACCATGGTGTTGAAACCTGTTGACAGACCTCTGGGACAAAACACAATAAAAGGACAAGTGACTACTATAAGTTAATATAAATCGACCTACTAGTTTTAAAAATAGTTTCGTATATTTCCTACCCAGAAAGACCACAGCTAACTACTTAGCTACGTGTTCATTTGCTAAGGAGAGGTGTCTTCCGTGTATGTCCTCTCGGACAACAGTACTCTTTTCATGACATAATATCAAAACGCCTGTTGGAAGATACATATACGTACGCGTCTGTGGTTGTTAAGAAATAATGAGGTTACCTGTGTGTGGCTGCTATTTCAGAGATGGAGTCCTGATGTAGCTTATGCTAGCCTAGCTCGGCAAGCTAGCAGGCTAGCCGGCCAACAGTGAATGAAGAAGACCAAAGTTCAGTTCAGCACGACAACAGGAACAACTAATGTTTTCGGACATTCCACTGCGTGATACCGTAATAATTCCAAACACCACGTATTCATTCACTCTTCAAAATAATGCTCCATAAGTGAATAAAGTGAACACCTTCCTGCAGCTGTCAATCTGGCCTTGGTAAACACACTGACGTGGAAAAGCTCCGCAGTCTCAACCTAGCCTGATGACGAGTTATGATTGACAGGCTACTAAACTCTTCACTTTAACCGTAATATTACGCTTTACAGTTCAAGAAACATCAGACAATAAGAGTTTCAGATTTGATAAATGTTTTGGTTTTGTTTTTTTCTAACTAGATAGACAATATACCGATTCCACAAAAGGAAATATCACTTGTGGTGCAGAGAAATAAGGGCGGGACAAAGGCAGCAGTACAGAAGTAAGTTTGGTTGCGCCGGTCTGATGACGAAAGCACGAGCTGCATCTCCATGGCATAGTCCAGCCCCTCTCTCACTGTGTGGAGGTTCTCTCTCTCACTGTGTGGAGGTTATCTCTCTCACTGTGTGGAGGTTCTCTCTCACTGTGTGGAGGTTCTCTCTCTCACTGTGTGGAGGTTCTCTCTCACTGTGTGGAGGTTCTCTCTCTCTCACTGTGTGGAGGTTCTCTCTCTCACTGTGTGGAGGTTCTCTCTCTCACTGTGTGGAGGTTCTCTCTCACTGTGTGGAGGTTCTCTCTCTCACTGTGTGGAGGTTCTCTCTCTCACTGTGTGGAGGTTCTCTCTCTCACTGTGTGGAGGTTCTCTCTCACTGTGTGGAGGTTCTCTCTCTCCCTGTGTGGAGGTTCTCTCTCACTGTGTGGAGGTTCTCTCTCTCAGTGAGACTGTGGAGGTTCTCTCTCTCACTGTGTGGAGGTTCTCTCTCTCACTGTGTGGAGGTTCTCTCTCACTGTGTGGAGGTTCTCTCTCTCACTGTGTGGAGGTTCTCTCTCACGTTTGGAGGTTCTCTCTCTCACTGTGTGGAGGGTCTCTCTCTCACTGTGTGGAGGTTCTCTCTCACTGGTGGAGGTTCTCTCTCACTGTGTGGAGGTTCTCTCTCTCACTGTGTGGAGGTTTCTCTCACTGTGTGGAGGTCCTCTCTCACTGTGTGGAGGTTCTCTCTCTCACTGTGTGGAGGTTCTCTCTCACTGTGTGGAGGTTCTCTCTCTCACTGTGTGGAGGTTCTCTCTCACTGTGTGGAGGTTCTCTCTCTCACTGTGTGGAGGTTCTCTCTCACTGTGTGGAGGTTCTCTCTCTCACTGTGTGGAGGTCCTCTCTCACTGTGTGGAGTTTCTCTCGTCTCACTGTGTGGAGGTTCTCTCTCACTGTGTGGAGGTTCTCTCTCTCACTGTGTGGAGGTTCTCTCTCACTGTGTGGAGGTTCTCTCTCTCACTGTGTGGAGGTTCTCTCTCTCACTGTGTGGAGGTTCTCTCTCTCACTGTGTGGAGGTTCTCTCTCACTGTGTGGAGGTTCTCTCTCTCACTGTGTGGAGGTTCTCTCTCTCACTGTGTGGAGGTTCTCTCTCTCACTGTGTGGAGGTTCTCTCTCTCAGTGAGACTGTGGAGGCTGCTTTCTGTTCACTCTCTTTCTCAGGCTCAACTTCACTCTCAGTGTGTCTCAGCTTCTTGCTCTGGCTCTCATTGTGGGGTTAATTACTCTGAAGAAGAATATTGTATACTGATTTAGAGACATTTTTTTCTCTCATGCTGATCTGTTCAACTTTGCCATGAATTATAAATAAGCATATGCTATAAAGCCTAGTTTTGCATTTGGAAATAGCAACAGAGCAAAAGCTAATGACAACTGTAAGGTCCAGCTTGAATGCCAAGAGCCCCATGAAAAATAAAACATGTTAAACATATATTTTTATGATGGACATAATTTACTATTTTATATATGATATTATATTATATTGTATCTTATTATATATATATTATATATATATATATATATATATATATTGTAGTATTATATTTTTATATATTATATTATATTGTGAAATGAACTCTGTTAAACTGTGTAAGTGTCTACTTAGTTTTTACTGCATACAGTTTGCAAATGAAAATCAGATTGTGATGATTCAGTAACATAAACATATCTCTCAAGGTTGGTTTTAGACTGTTGGTCAAATAAAACCATCAACCTAGGCATTACCTTGAGTTTTAGAAAAGGCTTATGAACATGTTTCACTATATTTAGATAGTGTGCATATCAAATAATCAATTATTAAAAATAGGTTTGCAAATGTATTGATAATAAATAGATATGTTTTGGTTGCTGCCCTATGTGGTGTATATAACCATCCAACAAAGCACTTAACATGACTGGCATACATTGGATATAAACAGTGTAGAAGTGAAAGATTGATGTCTTTGTTCACCTGAGTTTACAACCCGACATCACGTGACCCAAGTCATTTGGTCCAAGTCTCAAATTACTTGGGTCATCATGAACAACAGAATGGATGTTTCTGATGTTCATCCATTCTTTTGTTAAGGGTCATTGCTGGTTCACTAATGTAGTTTTCCCCAAATATATGATCAATGTTCAGTATTGTGCTTATTCACAAGCTACAAAAATCATCTTGTGGAGTATAATTGTTTGCTGTTGAGGTTTTGTTTTTCATGGGAACATATGAAGGGTTGCTCTGTGTTTAAAGCTTGGAGAATCTAAGCATGTGTTTTCTCACCTGTGGGATTTTCCACAGTAAGGAATATGTCTGCACCCCTGAGGCAATGAAAACGATTTGTATTGTTTGACATGCACTTGTTGATACATTGCAATGTTCTCACAAATAGGAAATCAAACGTGCGGTGGAAGATTGATTGAATCCCCATTCCCTAAAGAACCAGCTTTAGTCATTCAAGAAACATTATCTTTTTGAGAACTCATCTTTTATCACTATGAAGTCGTGTTGCATATCCTCATCTGATCCACCATATCCTGACCCCATCCCCGTTCAGCTGCATATGAAACAGCTGGATTTCTCTTGATTACATTTTCTTCATCCAAACAAAAAATATTTATGTGAGCTAGTGTCTTTGACGTGAGTCTGTTCATCATTAATTACAGCCATGAAATAAGAGTGGGGAGATTCTTTTATTTTTATCATTTCAATCTCATAGTTTACAAAAATGTCTGCTTAGTTTATAAGATTGGCTCCTCCTCCTCTGGCTGACTTTATCAGCCAAAAGTCCACCTCAACCAGGGTTACTAGAGGTGCGGCTAGGAGAGACTGCACCATCCCATTTAGGAAGAGCGCATTCAGCCAGGCTGTCTTTTCATTCCACGCATCCCATCAATGGAATTCAATACCACAACCAATAAGAGAATCCTCATCCTACTACATATTCAAGCAGTGTTAAAAAGTGGCTCATTGAAAACCAACGGTGTCAGCACTGATGTGTGGGTGTAGGTGTGTGTATGAGTGCGTATTGTAAATGTTTTATTTATTATCATGACTTGCTCTTATCTGTATTCAGTGATGTCATCTATTGTAAATATGTACAATGGTATAACAATGTCGTGGTATTTGTATTATTGCTTTTAGGATGTCTATCACCATCTGGCAAAGGGACTATCGATGAAAACTAGCCTTTTGGCTAATTTGAGTACTTTTACATGTTTTTAATATGTTGATTAATGTACACTGTCCCTTGTTTTAAATAAATCAATTCAATTCAATTCTCTAAAGCTAAAACATCATAATGACACGTTCACAGCTCTTCGTCTCTCTCCAGGGGGAGGGTGTGTGCTTGAGTAAATGATGCCAATGTCAGGTTGACTTGAGGGCCTCTATAGTGACAATCCCATATCTGGTTTATGCTGTTTTATGCTTGCATTGCAAAATGTATCAAATGTATCCAAAACTAGGAGAGCCTGGAGGAGAGCTACGCTAACCCAGAATCCCTTGCAACACTACTTCGGCCACACCAGGGTCAATTCCCGGATCTTGGTTCGTAGCTTATTTAAATCAAAGAATGTTTAAGAAATGGATGTACTCTCTCTGAGGTCACCATTTTGTTTCTGAGGAGCCGTTGGCAAGCTCAATATCGGGGGCTTCAGCCGTTGCCATTGACCACACTGCTAATCTTGCAGCTTATCCAAAGATGGGCAAAGAGGTGGATCAATGCTGAAACTGAGGCGGGCCCAAGTGATACAGCATAGCAGACAGCTAGCAGCTAGCTTCCTGTGAAGGCCCGTCTGTCACTAAAAGCAGCCACGCTCTTAATGATGTATAACCTTAATCCTTGATATCATTAAAATGGTGAGTTAAAAACTCCTACAACTGTCAGAAGAACTGTTTCTAAAACACAGCTTTATGTTTCCAAACTTACATTTGTATAGCGATTATAATTTTACATTGCATCGTTATATATAATTAATGTTCGTATAACAACTTTCATTTGATATATATTTGGTTTAAAATGTATTAATGTGTAAGTAAACAAATTGAAAGTCAAATCAGAAATAAGAAAAGGTCACCTATCATGCAAAATGCACTTTTTGATGTCTGTTATACATCACTATGTGTCCCCGGTGTGTAAGGAGACTCACAAAGTGTCAGTAAATAAAACCCTCTCTTTTCCTCCTTACTCGTATCTCTAAAAACGGGGGCACCACGGAGCTGATCCAGATTTTTCTGCGGTCATGATGACATGACTAAAATGTGGGCTGGCTTTACGTTGAACTCCTGGCAACGTCCCCCCCCAAGTCCCCACCTATCATCCCCATATACAGTCGCTAGCTGAATCGCCCCCTCAGCTGTGTGTGTGTACGAGAGGGACTTAGAGTAAAGTTGTTATATATATATATATATAATACATATAATGGCACTGTTCTAGCAGTAAACACTTAATAAAGTAAAGTATGTCAAGCTATGTGCTGAATCAGAAACAATGTGAGACGTGTTCTGGAAGTAATATGTGTAACTTCACTTGTTTATATTTCACCAAAATCATTTTTGTCCATGTTTTCTTTGTAAAACTTGTCACTGTATTTTTATTTTCTAGGCCAGAACCAGAATCAGCACTTTAGTAACAGGACTGAAATAGAGGACTTTGAGGCATGCTTGCTACAATGGGTGAATTGTTTGGTATTTTGAGCAAAACACTTCAGAGACATGTTTTATATAGAAATGGCCCTATAATATATTGTTCAAATATAGCATAATAGGTGAGCTTTAACAAATTAAAACACTTTTTCAACTTTGCCACCGACACTTTGATTGTTCTTATCCCTCACACAGTTATACCACATCTCTTATTATTGAAGAGCTTTTTTGCCTCTGATGACACACTGTAAAAAAATGGCTGTGAAATCCACAGTTATTTACAGTGTTTGTGCACAGTAAAT